AAAAAAGAACCTGAGTGACTGTTGGTAAATGTTTCTCAACTTTTTTTTTTTTCTAGGAACTGGACCCAGTGCCTCCAGGATGCTAACCACAGACTCTACCACTATACCTTAACCTCTGCAACAGATTATAAACCATACTTCTTTAGTAAGCATAACTCTTACACCCTATTATATTTTTGTTACTTTTTCCAAATAACAAAGTACTAAATGTCATTCTCAAAACTTCAACCTCCTCCCCAATAATCAGATAGGACCTCACCTTTAAGAAGCACTGAAATCATACGCAAGTCATCAAATACTGAATGCAGTGGAACAACCTAATAATTTCTAATTTCAGAGCATAAAAACTTTATTCACATAGTCTATAAACATTTATACAATGAGATGGGACTTTTGTACTTTAAATGGTACATAGCTGATTTTGCAAATAACTATATTCCTCATCCCTACACTGAAACTATACTCCCTAAACAAAGTACAATGCTTATTTTTCTTCCACCTTTGTGACTTTTTTTGGCCTTCACTGGCTTTTAGTTCTTCAACAACCACAATAAATAGAGTCAACTACTTTCTTTGCAGCCCCAGCACATAATCTTGATAGTGCCCAGCACAGAAATGACAAACTTCCAATGATGCTCAATAATGTAGTGTTATTTTTATTCAAAACTTCTAATATAAGTAATTGTATTCAGATCTGTATCCTTTGCCAGACTATGATAAGAATTTAGGCCTTCATTCTAAGCTATTCTTTAAACATACACATGTATCTTGATAAGTAACAAAGTGTTAAATGAGATAGGATTTTGGCTTGTAACTGCAATGTCCTTTAGTTGTATCACCCATCTTCCACCCATACCCTCACTCACATTCAAATCATTCCAAGCTCAGGCCACAGCTCCTCCACCAAGCCTCTCAAAATCACTTAAGCCAAAGGTTAGCCCATTAGTAGAACTTAAAAACTATTAGAAAATATCATCTAGTTCAGCACATGTTGTAAAAATATTCTTTGGTATTCTTGTTGTATGTTTTCCTGAATTGAACACAACTTGCCCCATCTAGACAATTCACTGAATATCAAAGACCATGCCAACTTTGTTTCTTTACCTTTTGTGAGGACGGTATTAAGAGTTTGAATTCAGGACCTTATAGTTGCTAGGTGGTGATCTACCAGGCCCTCCCAGCTCTTTTCGGTTTTGCATAGGGCCTTGCTTTTATCCCCAGGCCAGCCTGGACCAAAATCCTATTTATACTTCCTCTGTACCTGAGATGACAGGCCAGTCCCACCACAACCAGTTCTTTATTGGTTGAGATATGGGGGGATGGGGGGGGGAAGTTCTCAGACTTTTTGCCTGACCTGACCTCAAACCGCAATCCTCTCAAACAGCTAGGCATCCCTCACCATGCCTGCTCCAACTTCGTACATACACTCAGCACAGCATTTTTTAGGTAACTGACAGTCAATATACCGATCAACTAATGTACAACTGAGCTACGTCCTGACAGTGAGTTGACAAAAACAGATTTGACTGACTGGCACTGGTACATATTTGTAAATGGGTCATCTGGCACAGTAGCTAGGTTCTCTGGTGATGATACAAGAAAATGGATGCTCTTGGGAGAAAAGAGAAATGCACTCCACAGTGCTTAGATCCAACAGCAATTATCCCTCAACTCATGGAATTACGGAATGAGGGGAGTGTAGAGACAAGGCGACAGAAATTCAGTGCCAAACCTGTATTGAAACCCTAGTTTCCACCTCCTAATCAAGAAACCTTCACTGCATCAAACCAACTATCTACAAAAAACTTACCACTGAGGGGTATAAACTAGTAAGTCTTTTTCTCTTTACCTTAAACATGTCAGTCATTAGAAAGTCCCACAAATCCCAAGTCACTCACAAAAAAAGATACTCAAAGGAGCTAGAAGTTCAGAAGAAAGTGGGAAAGGGAAAAACTTTTCTAGATTATTCTTCCTCTACCCACCCCCACAACATTAAGTTCCCAAGTTCACTAGAGCCCTCCTTTCACTCCACACTTCCTTTGGTGTTGTCATCTGTAGTCTATACCTCCAACTAGTACTTACAGACTATGAATTCCCAAATCTAAATTTCCCAACCAGACTTCTTTATCAGTTCCTGATCTGTGTATTCAACAGCAATCTAGGATCGCTACTGATGTCTCATGGTCACTTTAAAAAACCTCAGCCTTTTAAGTTGATCATTTCCCCTACAGCCAGCCAACAGGCACCACCCCCTTGTGATCACACTGCCTACCTTGGTGAATGGTGCCACCTGCCAGAACCCTGTGTTAGTGGCTTTTTCATTTCTCTTAACCTTGATACCAAAACCTGTCAATTCTCTCTCCTAAATACAGTACTTCTTGTGCCCCCACCCAACCATCTCCTACATCAGGGGTCTCTAAATTTTTTGGTTACTTGCTTTTTATTACCAAAAAATTTGAAGATGTGTACTCAAAACATATGCACATTTATAAATTTAAATGCACATATTTCTATAGCAATATAAGGAGATATTACAAAGCATAACAAGAAGCTTAAGCTAAAATCATGAGATTTTAAAATATGAGTAAACCTAAAATTTTCTTATGTACACTGCAGTGATTTCTTTTACACACCTCTGAGGGTCAGAAGTCTGTACTTTGGATACTTATATGAGACTAGTCCTGTAAGAAATGTGCACAGATATGTATGTATACGTCTATTCATATGTATATGTGAAACTACTCCTTTCTCACACACATACTAAGCATATTGACAAATATCGTTATCCATATCTTTTAATGCCACAAATCAAAAATAAAGCTTAAAGTTAGTTGACTTCTGAAAACCCACATCAAATTTCAATCTGCAAAAGTTATTTGTTCATTTTTTAAACAATGAGAAATTTACAAAGTATAGTTTGGCTGTGATTCCCGCACCATAGCAACTACTACTGAAAGAACAAACAAAAATCTCAAAAACATAACCAAATCAGAAGAAACACTGCTAATGTAATAATACAGATTTTTTTTTTAATTTCCACCCATAATGAATCTTCTTTAAACTTAAAAATCTTAAAACCAAAAGTTCTCTGAAACCACTCTAGCAGCATAGTTAAGAACAAATGAAGCCTGGTGCCAGTGGCCTACACCTGCATGCAATCCTGGCTACTCAGAAGGCAGTGATCAGGAGGATTGAAGTTCCCAAGCCAGCCTGGACAAATAGTTCGCTAGACCCTCTCAAAAATACCCAATACTCCCAAAAAAAAAAAGGTGGGGGATGAGGGGAGCAGGTGAAGTGGCTCCTCCGGTGGTAGAGCACCTGCCTAGCAAGCATTAGACCCTGAGTTCAAATCCCAGTACCGCCCTGTCCCCCTAAAGTACCAGTGCATTTACAGATTATCAGTGAAATATTTCTGCAGATAGAATACTATACTGTACTCCTTCCCCTCCCCACGGGAAAGCACATTCTTATTAGAGGAAACCAAACTCTTTGTAAAGGTAGCAAGCACTCCTGTGAACAGTAACACCCAAACTGATTGATTATGGCAGAGTGAGGAGATGAGCTCAGGATCCCTTCTGGAGGTAGGACTTTATCAACATCAATACAGAACATTTTCATCAGTGATGATAATTTGGGGCAGATTTAAACAGTGCTGCCTAGGAAATGAAAATAATTGGCTGCCTGAACACTAAAATTACAAAATCAAGAGACTTTTCAAAATGGTTGATTCCATACTATTCATGTTCAGAATGGTTGAGAATAAAAAAGAACTTAATGTAGAAATTTCTTATTTAAAAAAATTGAAAATCGACATCACAGATAATTAAATGGTAGGTCTATGAAGTAAACAAAACACTGATCTGTTGCATGTTTCCTACTTCTCACTTCATCATCTTCAGTCATTTAATACTGACCAATAAACCAAAATTAATTAAAAGGTGAACATAATACTGGAAGTCTTAAGTCAATCCTGTACTCTCTAAAAGTTGTCTAATACACAAACTAATGCAAAGGGGCTGTGTGATTTTAAAGAGGCTAATCAAAATTCATTTGGCATTTACTTTTGTACCATGAAAACAAAAAATAACCGAGTGATATTACCCACTTAAATGTTCATGTGGAATGCAGACCTAAAGCAAACGTTGCCAAAACAGTGTGAAAATTTTTTGAAGTCTTTTTAACATACCAACAAAGCATAAAAAGGATTCAAAAAGTAAAAAAAAAAACAAAAAACAAAAAAAATCCAGTATTTATTGAGCATTTACTTCACATTTCACTTTTTTTGTTCACATTTGATTTTCACAAGCATACTGCAATTAAGGTTACTTACTTATGGTTCAAACACGGGGTCTCCAAGTTTTCAAGGATAACCACAAGCAGGAAAATTACTTACACTCGCCGTACCTCAGTTTCCTCATTTGTAAAACTGGCATTAAAAACCTACACCTCCAGGAATGGGTTACAGAATAAAATAAGATCATATATGCAAGCAAGGCACGAGAGCACGAGAGCTAAGCAAGGCTCTCACCCTCGTTATTATAATAATTATCATTATTAGTAGACACTTTGTTCCTATTTTGCAGATGAGGAAACGGAAGCTGTGTAACTTACCAGGACTCTTACCAATTTGTGCTAGGGTTCCAATCAGTAAAATACGAAATCCACAGGATTACAACTGTTTAGGCATTAGACATTAGGATTGTCACGACCCTCGCTGGTTATGAGGGGCAGAGGGAAAAGTCCCGCGGTGCACAGGGTGACTGTGGAGCCTCAGGGGCCGCGAGCCTCTCCGCCTGGACCATGTCCTGGGCCTGTCCCCGCTGCCCAGCGCGGCAGGTCCGGGCGCGCGTCGTTCCCTCTTGGGAACCCGGTGGCGCCGGGTGCACCCCCAGCCTCGCACTGTTCACCACCACCACCTCCACCACCCCGGGCCCGCCCAGAACCGCCCCGAGACGAGTCCTCGGGAAGCCCCGGCCGCCTCTCCCCCGCAACACACGCACCGCGGCTGGGGGCCGACATCCCGGAGCCGTGCGGTTCAGGACGCGTCAGCCAACAGGCCGCAGGCCCGTGCAAGCGCCGCCGGCGTCGGCAGACCGGCTAAAGCCCGGTCCCTCACAACCCCACCCCGACTTGACAGTGCCCAGGCCGGCGACCCACCCACTCGGAACCCGAGGGGGGGCCTGCTGTGCGCCCCAAGGCCGCCGCGCCGGGAAGGGTGCGTCCGGACGGGCCCCGGAGGAGAGGGAGGCGGATCGCACCGGAGGGACGCGGCTGACTAGCCGGGCGCCAAGAACTCTGAGGCCCCCACCCGGCTCCCCGACTCCCGCCGCCACCGAACACAACCCGGTCCGGCCTAGGCGCGCACAGAACCGCGGCCCGCCCTACCTTCTAGCGCGGCGCGTGCGGCTCCGCGGCGCGCTCGGGTTCTCCGCGGGCTGGCGTGGCCTGCGGGTCTCGGGCGCGGCGGGCGCGGCGGGCGGGCGGGCGGCGGCTCCTCCTCCTCAGGGGCGGGCCGAGGAGACTCGGCCGCCCGAGCCGACTCCCGGCAGGAAACGACCCCAGCGCGCCGCCTCCTCCACCCAGCCGATCCCGCTCCAGAGGCGGCCGCCGCCGCCCTCTTCCCTCCGGAAACGCATTCCTCCCGGGCCGCGTCAGCCGCGCCCCGGGCGAGGAGGAGGAGGAGGAGTCGGAGGCCGGAAGTCCGCGGCTGGGACAAAGGAGCCCGCCGGACGCGGAGTGCCGGCGGTGTGCCGGGGTGCGCGCAGCCGAGGGCGAGAAGGCCGCCGCAGGTTCTGCTTCCCTCTGCGAGTGGTGCTCCAGCCCCGATCCCTGGAAGCCCCCCCAGTCCCCCGCAAGTGGAGAGGGTTGGTCGAGGGCCAAGGTTAGTTCCGCCCCTTGGAAAGGGAGTTAGCTAAAATCAGTATTGCGATCCTGTGCCAGATTTGTGTGTGAAAACCGCGAAGGCTAGGAAAGAGCTGGGTGCCCACAGAAGCGGAGGTGAGGGAAGTTTCGGAGAAAAAGGGGTGAGTTGGCAAGAAGCTTTTTTGACAGATGTAGCTGGAAATCTGTTTGTGGGGAGTAAGGATGAGGGGAAACGTTTCAATCTCAAGACTTCGGTCTCTTTCTCACTTTTATTTTAAGTAAGATGGAGTTAGGGATTGGAGAAAGAACATTTAACAGAGAAGAAGTTGGGGGTGTGGTTCAAGAGGTGAGCACCTGCCTAGCAAGCTCCAGGCCCAGAGGTTCAAAACCCTAGTACCAGCCTGGCGCCAGTGGTTCGTGCCAGAAACCCTAGCTACCCAGAAGGCAGGAACAGGAGAACCGGTTCGAAGATAACCCTGGCAAATAGTTCACAAGACCCTATCTCGAAAAACCCTATCTGAGTTCAAGCCCCAGAACAGAAAAAAAAGTAAAATAAAAGAGAAGGGTCACACTCATTACAAGATTGGCTGGGGCACATTCTGATTAGAGGATTGAAACCTGTACCAACCCACATCATACTGAAACCCAATAATGCAGAACATGTGGCTGCCATGCTACCCTCCAGTTGGCAGAAAGAGTTGTGACTTCTCACCTGATGGGCTGCAAGACAACTCAAATTGCCAGATTTATGAACCTAGCAAGTAGTGTTTCTGATGTGGGACATTAGAGAATGGGATGCCCTTTTGGCTGTCAATCTTAAATACAAAAGAAAAAAATCCCATGTATGGAAAACTTATAGGTGCTCACCAGCAAAATCAAATCTGTTGGTTAGCCAATTTCTAAAGACCTCAAAGGAATGAGTGTTATTTTTCCCAGTTAATGGATGACCAAGCTTAAGCAGCTATTGCTGTATTACAAATCCAATAGTAAAGCTCAACTCTCTTGACTTTAAAGTTACTGATTTTACCATTGTTCAGAATTATCAAAATTAACCCAGTCTCAGCACAGGAAACTGTATAGTTCAAAAGACAAACCACAATTTATACATGCTTGACTTGCACTCCATGTCCTTTCCCTGGATGTGCTTTGGGGAGCCATTAGCAATCTTTGCCACAAGAACTGTAATTAGGTTCACATTTACACAGCTCTCAACTAAAATTAGTTCCTGTAGACCATTTGAAAATCTTTTTTATCACCAATATCAAGCACTGTACCAAGACACATTATAGAGGCCCAGACAATATTTGGTAAATGAACAAATGAGTCCTCTTGTTCCCCAGGGACCAGCCTAGCAAATTGCCTAATCTGAAATAGGAGCAATTTACATACAGAAGTCATGAGCTTTGAGAAAAAGGAATTAAAGAAGCATGTTCTCTAAGAAAAGCAGTGCTTGGTCAAGAGTAGGTATGACTCTACTTATGATTTCATACAAATTTTTAGTAGGGTGGTCCATTAGCTAACTGTAAAATGTGTGACTGCTCCCAACAAGAGTTGGTCGTCTTACCATACTCAACAGGAAATCCTAGTAAGTAGGCATAATACAGGTCACATTGCTAGATCATCATGATAGAACATGTGTAAGTATCTTGAATTTAAGATAAACCCATACCTTACCTGCACTATCACCCAATAAGTTGGCTTCTCCCATCTCATAAGTCATAATTACATCAAATTATGAAAGCTAGCCTTTTTCCTTTAGTTTTGACACCCTATTACCACTTGCTCTTCAAAATGTAGAAGGCTCTTCAAACCTACTGTTTTCCAAAATTAATTTTCAAACTTGCTGACCACAAAGATGTCATCAACTACCTAGGATTGTTTCAATTAGCCTTTTATCTTTGTTTCTTCATGTAATTATAAAATGGTTTCCATAAATGAAAGAAACCCTAGGAACCCGATTATCTCCCTCCAACAGTTGGGATCACAGTTGATTACTGACTTTAGATCTGGTGATTATGGAAGACAGGATTGGGAGTGAGAATGAATCAACACTAGCTTCAGGAATTGCTACCTATCTATCTCTTCTGACTTGAGCACTCTTAGGACTTAGTCCGACAAATACTGGCCTCTTGAGTAAAGTCACAAGTCATCCATGGTGCCTTGGGTTTTCAGTCTTTAAGAATGGATACAATCCTAAACAATGTAAATTTTGGGGGACAAATAGTTTACTACACATTCACTTATGAATCATTTTTCAAAAGCAATATAACCCTCAGAAGGCAAGACCCCATGGGGTTAGAACAAAGGATGGATATATGAATTGTAAGAATATATATATATATATATATATATATAAGACCAAATTTTTCCATTGACTGGGACAATCCATACAAATCATTTTTAAATAATCAAGAGTGCAGAGTGAACCTATGTCCTGGTATCCCAAGATACCCCCAGTGTGTCTATGTTTGAAACTTAATAACACTTTCCATTCTCAAAACAGTGTCCTGGTTTAGATACCAAGTTGTATGATCATCCTATAAATAAGGGTGCTTGAATGATGAGAAATAAGGAGTAACTTTAGAAATTCAAAGGAGCTTCATTGGGATGCATTGCAAATCAGGTTCTGGGTTTATAGGTAAAGACCAATTCCAACATCGCTGAAGTACAGGGGAAGAAATGTGTAGAGGTGAGTGTACAGAATTAGGCAATTCTTGAGTGATGAAAATGCTCTGCAAGGAGATTTAAGGAAAAACTCTTGTAAATAGTCTGGCTGATCAATGGAACTTGGGTTTTAAGTATTGTTGTAAATGTATTTGGTGGCTTCTAGTACAAATTGGTTGACAGAGGTTAGGTAAGTCTGCTACTTTTTTAAGAACTATTTCTACAGAGTGACCTAGAAATATTTTTCTCAGCTATCTCCTCCAGCTGATTTCAGTGTAATTTCTTTCTTTCTTTAAACATTAAAAAAAAAAGGAAAAGGGGGAGATGGGTATACAAGAAATAAATATCTGATAATATGAAACTAAGAGCCCTTGTAAAATTGCAAATCTAGGGGTAGTGGTGCAGCTCAGTGATAGGGACCCTGAATTTGATGCTCAAACACTGCAAAAAACACATGAAGCTGTGTGCCTTGGAAAGAAGCAGCCCTGGGAATTTACTGACATTTTGTAAAAAAAAAAAAAAAAAAAAAAAAACCGGCGAGACTGTCTTTGTAGTTCTTCCTTTTTCTGTCTCCAAATATGTAAATAGTATACAAATAACCATATAATTCAGAGAAACTGGAAGTTTATTTCACAACTTTTTTTTTTTAACTTGGGAGCTTCCACCTAGTGACACCCCTCAATACTCTGTCAGAGGAACTGTGGAAAGTTAAGTTTTGCTACAGGGCAGCAATCCACTGAGTGTGTAGTAGACATCATGTATTTACTTGACTAGCCTATGGTAAGGCTGTGACTAGTGCTTCATTTCTTTGTCTATTTAAAAGTAAAGTGGAAAATGGCAGAACTCTCTGACCCAATTTGTCAGGTATCTCTTATAGCTTATGCTAGCCATGAGGCCTTCTCCTTTTCTGGATAGTTAGCAGTGTCTGTATCATGGCTTTGAATATGGCCACATATGAGTGAGGCTCCTCCACTGACTCTGCTTCCTGTTCTCCATATATAGGCATCTCTATTTTTTCTGTTGTCTAGTCCTCACAGTATTGCCTCCAGTGGGTGTGAGCATTCCTTGCCACACTTGGATGCTGAACATTTTTAAAGGCCTAGAGGGAACAGAGTTCGGTAGCAGCTCTTTTCACACACTGAATTTCTTCAGCTGTAGAAGGGAATGTGCCTTCCCAAATAAGAATAAAGATTATGCCAAATATAAGCAGTTGAATAGCACTAAAGTTATTTTTAGGAACTTGGGTCATTCAGTACAGGAAATGAGAAAAAAAAAAAAAGTTATGGCCAGTGGCTATGAAACGACATTTCTTTCTTCATTTAACTACTTCTGAGTATCTGGAAAAAAGTTAGCAGTTGCAATTTTGAATGAGGACCAGCTTGATTTTAGCCTAGATTCTTTAGGGAGTAGTAAGCAAAGACTCCCCTTTAAAAATGGTATTTTTGGTAAGAACATCTTGCACTCACCCCCAAATTAATCCTCATAACATACTATGTAAGGCAAGGTTCTTGCTCCACCAAGTTTTTTCTTCATTCCTATGAATAGGATATTATGAAGCCCCTAAAATTATAGGCAGCATTTCACTTACACATATATCTCTGCATTTTTTTCTGATTTTAACGGGATCTTAACCCCAAAACATTAAGAATCACTATTTTCAGCATCTATATGATTAGTCTCTTTTGTAGATGAGGTACCCAAATAAATTCTCTGTTGTTGCCCTGGAATTTTGAGTTGTATATTGATTTATTCTTACCTGAAACAGTTTTATTTTTCCTTTATTATTGTTGTGATGAGTGGGGTACATTGTGGCA